TTATATAAAAATAAAGCATAATAAGAATTATTGAACTTTAAAAACTAATGTTGTTTTACTTTTAAACAAATAATTTATTATAAATATTTATTAAATTCATATTTTCAAGTTTTTTTTAACAAGGAACATTTCTGTGGTGTCATCATCTGTAAAAATTGTATTTTATATGCTGACATTACCTCAATACAAAGTATCAATAAAGCCTTGAGGCTAACATATACTTGGGTTGACACCTCTGCACATACACATTCAATCTATGGCTGCGCTTAGTGCGTTCCAATTAAAACTCCTCATAAGCAAGGTTTGTCTTGACTATGGTCATGGAACAATATTAAAAACATCTGGAGCACACAAAATACCTCAATGCGATGGAGACTATAACATAGGTATAACAAAACTCTATCGCTTTGGTAGAAAATTTGAGGTACACCTACTATCATGCTCAACGTGGGAAAAAGAAACCTATAGGCACGGTTGCCACTTATGGTACTTTAGTACCAAAATTGGTACTTCTTTTTCCGTTTGGTACTTTGGTACTCATGTTCAAAAAATGGTACATTTTCGGCGACCCAACTTTATTGTGGATATTGTATTGTTTTATACTTTTTGTTACTTTTATATAAATTGTATTTTCTTATAAAAAGACAATAGAAAAATTTTGGACCTTTTTTTACAGAAATGGCACCTTTTTAAACAAATTTTGGTACAGAAAAAATTTTCAAATGGCAACCGTGCCTATAGGTTTACCCAAAATTTTAGTTTGGTACACAGATGGATTGAATGAATGAACATTACATGAACAATTCGTTTATGTCGTTTGAACCTTTTATACCATGAATTAAAGAAAATTCAAACAAAAATTAAAAAAAAATAAGTTTAAACATTGAAACGTAATGCCTTAAATTTTCTAAGTGTATCAGCGATTTCTTTTGTATATATATATATATATATATTTATTTATTTGTTTAATATGTTTACAAAATGTCTAAATGAAATTTTATAAATTTAAAGATGTCATTTGTTCACAGCAGCTTCTTCGGAAACTTTCAACATCATAGTACGCTAATACAGAAACACTTTTTCAACTCCACCAATTATATTAAATTTGAACTCGATAAGTTGACTGAACCGTATTGTTTATACTTATATTTATATTTCAAGTCCATGAGAATTATAATAAATTTATTTGGCACATACATTAATATTTATAATTCTTATATACTTTGTTTCTTATGCTTGTAAATAGCACTATTTTGAAATGATAATTTATATTACTTTCATTACAGACTTTGGAGGTTTATCGTGTGTAATATATATTCTGATTATTTACTTCATATTTAAAGTACTTGCATGAAAATTGCAGATGTGTGGGAACAGTTTGTATTAAAAAAAGTTTGCTTTAATTTATTATTTATTTTATCATTTTTTTTTTATAAAGACCACAATTTGTATCACATAAATAAATGAAGCTTCTTTTTGTAAACGTGACTCCCGAAACCGTAAAAGACCAATCCTAATAACTAATGATAATAGAAGCGTTAAAATCTAATTTAGTGTCATCAAGTTTAGTGATAACGTATATTGAAAAACTGAATATCGTAGCCAAAATAATAAGGTATGAATCTTGTGAATTCCGAGTTATGTTGAAATTTCGGATAAGGATATAGTAAAGAAAAGTACCAGGAAAAAAACAGCCTTTTTTGTGACTTAGGAGGATTTAATTTTCTGTCAATAATTTAAAAAGAATAGGTACATGTACTCACTAATAGGTACTTTTTACTTAAAACGACAAAAATTGTGAATTTATTCCTGTCGAAATTGTAAATCTTATAAGAAACAACACACTAAACAAATGATAGGAGATTACCCGTCTCTGATTCCTACACAAAAGGAACGTTTACGACATTTTTTATCAATACTGTAATTTATCGAAAAAATAGGACACAGAAAAATATAACTACTTCTATGCAAGAGACACAATAGATTATTATTATCATTATTATTATTGTTAGGGGATGTGGCACTGCGACCATCGGGTCTATTGCGCCCTCTTTTGGGCTTAGAGTAAGTCTTATACAGTAGATCTTTAGGTAGCAGACTAAAGATCTAGTGTATATACCGCAACATTTAGTTTTATTACGAGTACCTTTAGAGAATAAATGCTTACCACTTATTTATTAAAATATATTCTATATATTCCACCTGGACTACAGTGATGAAGCACCATTTTTGGCTTCCATGCAGATAAACAACATCAAAACATCACCACCACCAATTATGGTGAGATAAATTATTAAAAACAACGTATATTTAGTGTTATTATCTAATTTTATTAAAGAAAATAATATATATACACATATTTCATATAATTTATATATTTATATATTCATAATTTAATTTCTGCCTGTTCATTTTTTCTTTTTTTTACAAAAACTATAGACAGGAGTAAGTTTCCAATACTTATACATTTTTTTTTTATATGCTTGGTAATCTTTTTTAGTTTAACAATTATAAACAATTATGTTATATATATATAATTTTTTTTTATTAAAATGTTTATTTTAATGATATTTGTAGATTTGGTTTTCGATTATAAAATATATTTTTATTATATTTTAATAACTTTATATATAATATTATTTATTTTCCTTTTTATTTAATAAATTATATAATTAATTATAGAAAGTATTATGTTATTCAACAGAAATTTATCACTTCAATGTTAAATATTTATTTATGGTTTTTATATTACATTTCTCTAAATTTTAATAAAATTAACATAATCTTTAATTAAGATTATTACTTCACTCAATTTATTCATTTAAACGTAGAAATGAATTTATTTTATATTGTGTAAGTTTTTTATTTTTAAGTTTTGTACAAAAACAAATTAGTAAATAAATAATAAAAACAGTATGTATATAGTATATTTGTTTACTTTCTAACTAATTTATCAAAAATGATTTAATAATTATTTTAATTTTATTTTTTTTTTTGTTTATTTGCACAATTATGTGCAACTTAGGTTTGCATATAAAGTTTGATATTATTTACAATTTTTCATTTTAAGGAATTTTGTGTGTAAATCTCCCTAAGCTTTTCATTTTTCATTAAATTAGTTATATGGCAATTTTTATACATTTTCGGCCAATAATAACTCTTTTCTAGTATGTTAAATAATGCAAATTAAATATTTTGTTTTATTGGAATAAAATTTTGTATTACAGTAAGACACCATAGAATTTATAAACATATATTTAACATTTATTCATAGACTAACACAATCAATCAGTTTTACTGATTCTCATTCTACAATTATAATTTTATATACTATTAATACAATAAATTAAACATATATTATGAAAAAATTATCAATTAATCATATTAGGGAAGTTTCGATTTTTTAAATGTATACATTTTAAGCAATTACAAAATGAAATTTATTATAGCAGTAACTCATAATATAGTATCACGATTAAAATGTACATAAAAAAAAAATATTATAAAACTGTTATAAGTTAATTATTCTATTATTAAAAAAAAAAAAAAAGAACAGTGTAAAAAAAGAAAATAATAATAATTAGATATTTCATAATCATTATACATTTCTATAAGCCCCTCAAATTATTATAACTCTAACATGTGCCATATAAGCATATTCGAACAAAACATTTCACAAAATCGATTGCACGAACAGTTGTACTAACCCTGACTAATTTCGAAAATTCCATAAAAGAAATCATTAAACTAATGCAAAAAACTCAATACGTGAAGATGGCTCATAACTGAAAGTCCAGCTGAAAACACTTACAGAAGCAAAATCATTTCTTATCTTTCTTTTAAAGCATATGAGAACATTATATTGAATAAGCCTAAATAAATGTTAACCCGTTTAACGTAATAAATCTAATATTAACAAGGAGTCATGTAATTTAAATGACAACTTCGATCTTCGAAAAACAACATAATGTAATTTATTATATCACTCTTAACTTTTGGTGTACATAAATCAAATAATTCCTAACATAAAATTGTTTAAAACTTTAGAATGTTAGACTAAATGCCTTTTCAGATCTAAAAGACTTGTATAAAAAACTTCGTTTTTTATTAATTGAACTGCTCTAAAAAAAACTTTTAAACAACAAAATCCTCACATTACATCACTACGCAACTCAATGCGAGACATTAAATATAAACGGCGGATAGAGCTTATTTGCTAGTCAACTATGTTATCGTAAGATGTCACCTCAGCCAAGAATACCAAGCGAACGCATATTCACAACTGCCACTGTAAGTACTACAGATGACTTTTGAGGTTTGTAAGATATTTAAAATGTTCTAAAACAGTTAAATTTTTATAAATTTTTCATTGATTGAAGTGAGCGCAGTGTACATTTCAAAAATCAGCAAACATATAATTTAGCATCACTGTTTATATGCAATATAAATTTAGAGTCAAATAGTTTACTATATTTCAAATTATATACAGAAGTATATATACATTTAGAAATATTAAAAAATTTATCTAAAAGATTCCTTATAAAATATATAGTCAGTAAAAAAAAATTTTCAAAAAGTTTTCACACAGTATTTAATATTAACAACAGATTGCAGACAGCATTGACAATTAGCATTTGTTAGATTTATGTATAAATTATTGAATATACATATATATATATTGAAATACTCATTTATCGTAAAAAAGCGTATTATGTTTAATTATAAGTTAACATTTTTAATAAAATTTATAATATAAAATATAAAATGAGATTAATTAAAAAATAATAAATTAAACATTTAAAATACTACACAACTAAGCTTTTTTTATGTTAAGCTCTTATTGTTGCTTTTTATAATTTAAATTTAGTAACCTTTACCTTCTAGCTTTAATTAAGTTTTAATTTGGCATATATATACAATTTAAATATTAACTCAATTTAAAAAGAAACAAATTATAATAATAATTATTATGAAACTATACAAATAATCATTCAATAAACTTTAAAAATTAAATTTAAACTACCAATGTGAAAAAAAAAATGATGTATATAACTGCTTTATGAAAGTTTCAGATAAGAAGGTGGCGAACATTTCTTTCGTAAGAACTTGATTATGTATAATGGTAAGCAGGATACCAGGGTGATAATTGATACTTTCCAAAGAAAATCCTCTGACCATATGAATTCCCAATCTGAAAATTTTAATAAAAAATTTTAATCAAAAATCTTAAAAAAAATGTTTAAAAGCATTTAAAAATATTAGTGACATGCAGGCTCGTAGCCAAAAAATATACTTGGCGGAGCCTTTTAGATCATTTCATTTAGATCATTTTCTCGTGTAACAATCTCAGTAACAGAGTAACGAAATAACGTTGCAAAGCGGCAACAGTAACATATATATAAAGTATTTGATATAATCAAAAAAATTCCAAATAACGAAAGGCCTTGATATTCTCTTATTTTTTATGTCAAGGATTTCTGTCCCCAATTTGATATTATTGATGCCGCTTTAAAGTGTTACTATCTAAAATGATTACTAAGCTTATTACTGGAGAACTTACACCACTATTATATATTCAATACATCTATTTTATAAAAGATTATAAAAGATTTTCTAAAATTAGTTGTAGAAATAGAAGTAGTAGTCGTTTTAAAAATAGAAGTAGTAGTAGTAGTTGTAAAAATAGTAGTAGTAGTTGTTGTAAAAATACAAGTAAATAATAAATAGTAGTAGTAGGTATTATAATAATAGTAGTAGTAGTAGTTGTAAAAATAGTAGTAGTAGTAGAAGTAATTGTTGTAGAAATAGCAGTAGTAGTAGTAATAGTACTGATCCTTATATATTTTAAATTAGAAGTATTTGCATTTAGAATTATTAATTAAAATTATACAGAACAAAATATAGAATATATTAAATATGACAATGAATGAATTCGTTTTGTTTTTATAAGTATATGATATATTCACACAAAAATACATGAAATACATACTTATGAATAAAAATAAAAGCAAAATAAAAAAAACATAAAAACCAAATATAAACAATATAAAAAACCAAACAAAAACAAAATAAAAAACCAAATAAAAACAAAATAAAAAAATAAAATAAAAAGAAAATACAAAAAAAAAACAAAATTAAAACAAAATAAAAAACAAAATAAAAAACAAATAAAAAAACCAAATAAAAACGAAATAAAAAAAATCCAATAAAAACAAAATAAAAAAAATTTAAAAAAACCCCAATAAAAACAAAATAAAAAAAATTTAAAAAAACACCAATAAAAACAAAATAAAATAAAATCAAAATAAAATAAAAAAAATTAAAACATAATAAATATAGTAAAAAAAAAAAAAACAAAAAATAACAAAGAATAAAAAATAAATATAATAATATCATTATGATACAATTTTAAACAGTTTAAATTCTTACCAAAATACTCATGTAAAACCGCCAGCGATATTAAATACAGCGCTAAACTGAATAATTCTGCCAGTACCATTAACCTAAAAACAAAAACGTACAATATATAGATTTATAAATGATCGGTATTAAGTGATGTAAACATTTTTTACCTGTGCCATGTACGCACTGTTAAAGCCACCATAATCAATTCTGTTAATATTAACGCTGAAAAACTGATGGCTACAATGTGTATAAATTCATCCTCAAATAATATTAACGCGCCATACATAATCACACCGCCTTGATATATACTTATTAATACCCATATAAAGAAGGTCTTATAACTTAAACTACGTCCTTTGGCCAAATCTTTGTATAACTCCGGATAAGTGACAGCTGTACTTGATGTTATATCTTGATCTAGCACCAACGAAAATACTGGGAACATAGTATATAAAGTAGAGTAACCAACCATCAGAAAGCCTTGATACAATGCAACTGAACTAAGATAGAAAACAGCAGAGAATACTGCCTGTAATGTAGTAATAATTAAACCACGATGTATAACGAATTGTGACAATGCTGCTGAACGTTTATACGAACGACGTCCGTGTACTAATAGTAGTTTGGCAATATGTGAAAATTGTGGTATACTGAAATCACCAGCCAGTGAAGCTTGTCGACCTTCGCGTCCTTCAATACCAACACCAGCATCAGCTTGTTGTATCATACTAACATCATTGCCGCCATCACCAACTGCGCAAGTACGCTTGCCGGTATGTTTTTGTATGAGTTGTACTACTTGAGCCTTTTGAGTGGGACTACAACGACAGCACACAACTGCAGGGCAAGCTGTGGCTAATTCGAGAAATTCTGGTCGATAATATTGTAAACAAACTTCCAAAGATTCACCAGAAACTACAAGTGCATGTCCTTGTTTACGGCGAAATTGATTGAGTTCCAAATGAGCATCAGTGCGTGTTTTAACAGAACGAAGTACATGTAAACCTTGATTACGTCCAATTAGTTGCGAAGATTTTGCAATGCAACATGCTGTCTCTAATTTATCTCCAGTTAACATCCAAACTCTTACACCTGCATTTCGAAGTAATTCCAAGGTCGGTCGCACACCATCTTGTAAGCGATCCTCAACACCTATACAGCGAAAGAAAGTAAATAAATAAAAGTAAACAAAACGCTGTATGTGTTTAACTCACAACTAACTTACCAGTCAAACACAGCAGTTCCATTTCTCTTTCCAAAGATTCAATAACAGACGCTACTTTGGCAACACGATCTGTAACACTTAGTCTTGCTGCATTGTATCGAGTTTCAAAATCATTATATTGGTCGTTAGTTAATATTTTTTTCGCTACAACTAAAGTACGTAAGCCTTCACGTGCCATATTCCCCGATTCTTCACTAAGCCAATCATTATATTGCACAATTGACGTCATGACTACATCAGCGCCTTTTAAATAAAAAGTAATTTCGCCTGACTGGACATCTCTCACAATAATGCCCATACGTTTACTTTCGCTGGTAAAGGGAAATAATTGCAAGATTTGGAACTGAATGACACCATCCTGTAAATTTTGTCCCGCTACAATATAAAATTAAAAAAAAAAATTACAAAATTAATTTAGTGAATACAATAAAACACAAAGATGTATTATTTAAAAAAAGACGTAAAATTGTAAATTCGACTTACAACCATTATTTTTATTCAATTTTAATTGCAGGGTCATCGAATTAATGTCGCGAGCAATAAGTGTTAAACCAACTTGCTCAGTCCATTTCACTAAAGCAATTTCATCAGGAGAAGATGCTTGGTACTGGTGTTCTGCTGAATTTGATTCAATAGTTATCACAGATTTCGTTGGTGAAACGCTTCCTAAAATGTAATACAAAAATGAAAGATACAATAAAAGGTAAAATAAAAATATAAATATATAACAACCAACTAACCGGCTGAGGAAGCAAATGTAGATGCAGTCGACACGGATTTGTTATCATCTTCATCAGTAATTGGTGTGACATTATGACAGAGTGCCAGTGCTTTAACTGCTTCCCATTCACGCCATCCTTCCGGCCTTCGCATGCGATTTCCCGAATAAAAGCCCTGCTTTGATGAATTTTGCAATTGTTGATCAGTTAACGCGCTGTTGGCATTTGTATTCAATATTGTGGGTGCGATGGATTGTATTAATTTACCAACGTCATGAAATGTATCATTATCATGAGAAACAATGCCCAAATGTATTTTTTTAAAAACCATTTCATTTTGTGTTAACGTTCCTGTTTTATCTGTAAGCACATATGAAATGCGTCCCAATTCTTCTGGTATTGTTGTTGAGCGGACAACAGTTCCCTGTATTTCCGGGTCATTTTGCATTTGCCATGAATAAAATGCTTTACCCATATCCAAATTTACACGTAAACTGATTGGAATAATGTAGGAGAAGAGTAAAACAAAACGGAACATATAACGATACCAGGGCCCATTAAAACCTTTCAACATCATCATAACTAGCGACAACCCAAGTACAGCGCAAAATAGTACCTTAAAAAAACGTAATTAAATCATATATTATCACAAGAAAACATTGTGTTGGTAAAATATTATTAATTATGTTATTAAAAAAAATGTTGTTAATAAATAATTATTTATTTTTTAGTCATTTAATTTAATAATTAAAAATTATTTTTATTTTTTATGCATTTTTAAATTCTTTACTAACTAAACAATTAATTTAACTTTAATAGAACTTAAATTTGTAAAAAGGAACAAATCAATGAGAAACAAAAATAAAAGTATATGAGAATTATAATTTGTTTTATGCGTTATGTATTTAAAATTTTGTTACAAACATATTTATTTATTTTTTTTATTTTAGTTATATTTCTCTTAAAATTTACTTAAGTTTCGCTAGACATACGTATGAAATCTAGAATTACGAGTAGTTTAGTTGCATTAACAAAAATGAGCTGAATAACTTCAATTTAACTCATATTAACAACTATTAATGAATATGCTACTTAAGTAGTTCTATTAAATATTTTATTGCATTAATAAAGTATTTAACGCATTTCAGTTAATAATAAATTAAAGTAAGCATTTATAAAATCTTAAATGATAAATATTTATATTGAATACCTTAGTCAAGCCATTTATTTCCATGTCGAGGAGGCCAACTTTGGATCTAGGTTGGGAATTATTCATAACACTACGAGTCTCACAACCTGTGTATATAACAATGCCAGTAGCTGTTCCTGCAGCCACAACTGTATTAGCCCAAAGTGTGTTCTCGACGTTGAGACCAGTTTCTTCACTTCCATTTCGCTGTAATGAATGCAAGAATATTAACAAAACTGAAGTACAAAAAAAATTTATTTTAAGTTAGTTTCTTTTTAAGTTCACTTAATTTTGATTATTTAGTGACTACTTATAGTAGTTATAGCATTAATATATAAATATATATATATATATTTATATATTTCTCTAATGTTTTGCGGTTTTCAATTTCACGTTTATTTAATTTTGTTAATATAACCAGATCTAATGTCAACAAAAAAAAAATTATCACGCTGTAATTTTAAATTATATTATATTATATGTATAATATAAATTATATTATATATATTTCGACTATGTTAATTATAAAATTATATATTTATTTTTTTATATAACAGGTATTAATGTATCTATGGTTGCCAACTATATCAAACTTAATGTAATGCCAGATAGTGGAGTTTATGAATAAAATATTAAAATCACATAACCCTATTAACACTATAAGAATATTTCTTTGGTTATAACAGGAATCATAAAGAAATTTAATTTGAAAATTGATAAACGAAATAACATTGGATATATATTGACCTTGTAACAAATTTTTCGGAATGGAACCATTATAGACAACCGACTTCTTCACACTTAAGATACAGTTTGACTTTATATATATGGTAAATTTCATTTTTACAAAGCTAATTTCGATTAGCATTCTCTATATAAATAATTTAATACCAATATGTTTGCATTTATCAGACTCTACTTCAGTATACAAGACTTAGAAGTACATTGGAACAATGTGGATCGTGTTTTAGTTAAAGAAGCCAATATGTATCATGATAATATGTCCAATGAACTATCTGACATTAAGTAATTAACCGACAATTAATGCTCTTATGATGTGCAATAACTTGACTGTAAGAAATGGAGTCAGACTTTACAATGTATTTACAATAAAAACATTGCAAAAAAAAAGCTGTTGACTGCAACGAATACATATTGGGAACCTTATTAATAAAAAGTAAAGTAATTATATATTAGAACCCAAAGTACAACTGTACGATAATACGTAAAATCTAGTGAATATGCTTAAGCTATTGTACTTAGTCATAAATATTACTCATAAAGATAAGTAAATGGAATAAAATATATACAGTATACAGTAAAATGAGTTTCAAAATAGAAATTCAAAATAACGTATCACCCAAGCATTGTATCATTCATCATAATGGACCATCACTGCATAACAAATATCAAACGTTGAATGCACAGTTATTTGGTTATATACCTATTCAATACTTAGCTTAAATGCTATGAGGCGTTTCTATTAAATTTATTTACATCGAGTACAAAAAGCGTTAAATAAATCATAAGTCTTTAAAATTTCATATAGAAATGATTAACTTTATACCATAGAAAATGTTCCGATGAAGGAGTGTATATCGTTTTGTGGTTTCTCAATGTAAACACTAGCACTAATATGAAATAGATCTGAGTCCCGATTAAGCTTCTGTGTAAGTGGCACAGCCAAACGTAGTTTCCAATCAGTTTCACCTTAAAAGCAAATAAATATTAATTAATTGAAATTATTATTTATTATGTTATTATTTTACTAACCATCCAATTGATCTGTGCGTACAAATACTGAACCACTTTTATCACTAGTCCGCAACAAGATTAAATCAGCCGGTACACGTTCATTCTTCTCTACAATAATAACATCACCTACTTTTAGTTTTGACGAGGGTACCAATTCAAAACTTTGCGACTCTGATGACGTTAGCCTCTTGTACTTTTGTGAATTCACTTCACGATCACGTTGATGTCTTCGCAAATCATCGACAGCTTCACGACAAATGGTAACCATTAATACAAAACTCAATGGTCCCCAATACGTATATGGATAACCTATACGTATGTCCGGTATAAACTGTGATAATGCCATAAGCAAAAAGTATAAATTTAAAAAAAAACGAAACTGCTCGAATAGTACGAGCGGCAGGAACGTTAAAAAATTATATTTCTGATTTCGTATTTCATTCGGTGGAAATTTCTCTGGTGATCCACGTCCCAGATTAACAGTGCGAGCTCGTAATTCTCGTGGTGCAAACCATTTTCGCCAGCAGCTGCAAAAAAGATCAAAAAAAATTTAGATTTTTTTTTTTATATAGATACATATGAGTACAAAATACGTATTTTCTTATTTTAGATTTTATCAAGATTTCTTTATTAACTGAACCCTAGATTAGGTTAGTTGATACCGGCGATTCTTATGCCTATAGGCCCATTGTACTACCGTATTATTCAAAAATCCAAGAGTGAAAACCATTTATAAACTTTAGCAAAGCTTAAAGTTCGCCAAGATCCTCAAAAAAAAAAAAGCCGCTAAAATGTTAAGGCGGCGCCGTGCGTGTGCCGGACAGAAGCAAAACAGGTGAGAGGCGCTTTAATCATCCTCACCACAACTGTGGCAGATATGGTTGAAAGGGAAATGTAGTCTCCTAGCATGGTTACCTAGAATACAATATTCTGTAAGTAAACCTACTGCAAGATTGATATCGGGACATCTCTATGAGAGAATTCGATTTTTTTCTATTTGTGTGTAGCCAAATCGCATATAGATGCCTGCATATCGTAGAGTTTACCCATCTTTTATTAAAACGTTGCGTACAGGAAGAACTCAATATCAATTTGAACCAATTGAATCCTAAATATTTAAATTTTCAATATTACAAATGCTGACAGAACATCTACTGTATTAATATATAAATTTGATGAAAATAATAGACATAAAAGTTTCTTATGATAAAGTATGCAATCATTCCATTTAATATATTCTCATTAGTACACACCAATGTTTATAACATTTAATTCTTATGAACTAGAGATGTAAAAGACAGATGATTGTCTTATTCACTGCTTTTCAAATAAGGCATTGTGATATCACGGAGGTTTGATAGCATGCTCACTTCTTACTATTTATTATGAATTGTTGTTAATGAATTCTTCTATTTAGGAACAGAAAATCGGTTAACTGTCTTAATGCCAACTGATATTTAAAACACACTTTAAAAAAGTAAGTCTCATGGATGATAATCGTCTTCTTATAAATACTAGAGGAGTAGCTTTTTTCTCTCTTCCTCTGTAACTCACAACAACAACAATATCCATTGTATAAAGTCTCAATTTGTTCAATTTTTCTACTGAACAGCCAAAATCCTTATAAACCAATTATCCTATTTGTCCTATTAGAGCATTTATTCTATTAGATATTGTACTATTAGTAATATTAATGACCACATTAATTATATGTGTTCTTTGACATATGTGCTTAACATACCTATTTTTATTATGAATTATTTAAACGTAACACATTTCAAAACTTACTGTTTCAAAATATTCATTTAGTTTATTTATTATTTTAAGTCCTTTAGTTGATACACTATACAATATATCTATTTTGCTGACCAACACTAGAGTAAAAAAAACCGATATTATATTGTTTCTCAACTTCCATTTTATGAGGTAAACAATATAATGTAAACAATTTGTTAAGCTTATTAAATTTTCATGATAAAAGCTTATTATGTACTATAAACATTCCAATAACCTCAGATAATTCTAGAAAAAAAATTAAATAAATAAATATTTCAATTTTTCATTTGATAGCAAACATCGACTGGTAAAATGGCTATATTTAAGATATAAATTTGCAAATGTGGAATTTTACAATTTTAAAATAAATGGACTTCACGTATCAGAAATCGAATCGGATTAACTGTTTTATTCAGAGTTATCCACAATAAATGGAAATTAACAACTTTTAAAATTGTGGAGCAAAAATGATCGAGTTTATTATCGAGACTTTTGTGGAACCAGAGAATGTTATTAAAAACGAATCCAGAAAAAAATTAACTTTTACACAAATGTAATGTCATATACAATATAGTACACATTACTCAGCAAGTTCCAAGACTAAATACTTCAAGAAATGATGTTTTGTCAGCTAATCCAATATATATAAATAGTCTATATAGAATCTCCAACAATAGTATATCAGTTTCCTAACATTTCATTGACTTTCTTGTAGAAAGATTTCTTAATAATTTTAAATTAACATTTGTTCCGAACACAACTTTACTATTGGAGTAAAATGGCTTTTTGCCGGAAACATCATTTCAAGTTCCAAACATATAGTAATCGTTGGAGACCAAATCTTATGTTGGATGTGTAAGTCATTCAAAATATTATTGATAAAATTTGGTTATTACAATAACGACTTCTGACATGGTACATTATCGTGGTAAAAGAACATTTTTCATCAAATTTTGAGGAGTGTCATTCGAAAATTATATTCTCTAATAGTTTGTGTCGGAATTAATTAATGAAATGTTACATCTAAATAAATATTTCTGTGTAAAGTCATAAAACACATATTTTTCTTTCAATTTTTATTAATTTTCTTATCAAAACAGAACAACATAATTATGCAGCTTTGTTTGATGCTGATTATAAAGAAAAGTATTTGCGCTTGACTTCGCTGTCTCCATATGTAGTTTTTCATTTTAATGAAAAAATTTCTAGTTGATTTTTGGTCGGCTAAGCGAACCGTAGATATCGCTAAAATGAATCTTTCTGCAACAATTGTGGAGTATGAAAAATAATAGCAAAGGTCAATTAAAAAAAAAAATAACAAAAATAGAATACAACAACGAGATCAACAACCATGAAAAATGCTTTATTTCAGAAAATATAATACAAAAATATTATCTATTATGGAGAAGTAGAAGAAAATATGAATTATATACACTCTATAATAGTAACTTAACATTATTATTATAGAATAAATAAAATACAAGCTACGAGTAATTTTAGTAATAAATAAACGAGGCTAAATATATACTAAATATATGCTGAATATATGCTAAATATATGCTAAATATAATACAACCAAATTTTTTTTCTTTTACACTAATTAGAAATATTTATACCCAAAGTTTCTATACTTTGATCAAGATCATAGATTCAATTTTTCTCTCATTCCAAAAATCAATTATTTCTCACAATTCGACTGCTTATACCATAAAAATGAATCCATATTTGTATAGCTTATATAGCTAGTAGTACTGGCATTTATGGGCCCAGATTCGATTAAATCACTCTCATGTCTAGTGTTGCCATATTTTCTTAGACTGTATTCGTATGTCACTCTAATCTAATTGAGATAAAAAACGCTAGCATTATCATACATTCACATAGCTAGACAGACAACTATAAAATTTCTCCGATATTATACTACTAAAAGAAATATAGTCTGGAATTATAAAACTCTAAGAATTAACTAGTATTTGCACAAAAGGATCACTTGTCTTGATACCTAGACATAAGTTCAAAAGAAATATGGTCTGGAATTATAAAACTCTAAGAGTTAATTGATTAGCACTTGCACAAAAGCATCACTTGTCTTAGTACCTTAACACAAGTCATTCGACAATCATAAAGCACATAAACTTACAGAGAAGGAAAGGGTACCCTAACACCCTTTGTAGAATTAGAATCCATATCTTTGTATAGTATTATCGCTTAAAATAATATCTAATCTTAGAGTATTCACTCTCCGCACGGAGAGGTACGCAGATCTTAGATCAATCACTGAATAATCATAAAGCTTATAGGTAATACATAAATTAGTCAATGAGATGGGTGGGCCTTGTAGTACCCCCAGCTATCAAAGAGTAAAAGTGCCCAGTTGCGCTGACTCGAAAAAAGGATCAACATACATACATACTTAGAAATATTGAGAGTACACTGTATATAAAATCATAACATTTTACTAAAAATACATATATTCTGGTCGACAATAAAAATGTGATATTTCTGTCTATAAAACCCTTCAAAGATGGAATAAAAAGATCTTAACACTTGCAGATTCTGTGAAATGTAAACCGAAATTTTCAACACAATACAAATGAATAAAACCGCTCATGTCCAACGATTTTGGATAAACGCATTATCTGGGTTTCATTGATTTGAATAAGTTTTGAAGTCTTGACCCAAACGATTTTACTATGTTTATCAACAATCTTAGATTTGAAAGTAAATGGGAATGCAAAAAACGAATTGTGTTATTTTTATTCTTTTTATATACTTCTCTTATATGAAAATGTTTTTCAAGAGAGGATTTCATAACAACTGATGTGACTATTTACTGTATGTGTTAAGATACTGACATTTAATTTACAATTTGCATGTCTGTACTAAACAAAAAAACTACATAAAAAATTTTTATAGCAAATATGCTCTATACATTTCACCCAACCTCCTAACGCCATTTCACTAAGTGACCCAGTTTGCTCACATGGAAAAATATTTCTTTTCTTAATTTTATTTGAAATGAATGTGTACTTGTATTATTTACTACTGCTATTTATAGCGATAGAAACAGAAGTGAAATAGCAGCAGAATGATATAATTTATATTTAGTAATTTAATAATAAATAAAGTAAGTGTAATTGCTGTAATAAAATTGAAAATTCTCAAATAAAACTAGGATAAATGTAAAAGGGATAGAGCCCTGAAGCTATAACCGAAAAGTAACAAGCTACGCTATATATCACTATCTAATCTCTGAGCAGTCACTAGCCGTACGGGGCGATATGCTCATCTTAGATCAGTCATCGAATAATCAGCGAAGCTTATGATGAATACATACATAAGTCAAAGAGAAGGAAGGGACTCTGTAGAAACCCATCAACTAACAAAGCGTAAAAGTGCCCAGTTGCACTAACTCGGTAGAACCTTAACATAAGATACTACTAATAATATTTAAATTTCGAGACAAAGCCAGAGGAGAGTAGAAAAAGAGGACGACCACAACGAAGATGGTTACAAGATGTAGAAGACGACATACGAACGATGAGAATAGCACAACACAGAAAGAAAGCGAAATGCAGAGAAGAATGGAGGCGTATTGTAGAGGAGGCAATGGTCCATCCTGGACTGTGATGCCAAAATGATGATGATAATATTTAAATACAAAATTTTATTAGAAATTTTAGTGAGAAACAATAGGAATAATCACTCTCTCTTCCAAACCCATTGCAAGGTGGATGAAATGCAAGAATGC